GGGATTCTGATCTATTTCTTAAATTGGAATGTGCTTCTACCACTCTGCAGTTGGTGCTCACTGGGTTATCCAAAAAACTACTTCTGAATATGAAAGGATAAGTTCACCTTTTAGTAAAATATAATAAATGCACATTTTTTGTAGGTAAAAAATTTGCATTTATTATTTTTGTCTGCAGGACCCTGTAAAGCATTGTACCAGTGATCAGCAGATCGCTGGTGCCATGCAGTCTCTGGCAGATCTGTCAGAATATCTGCTTAGTCGTACGGGATGTACAAGCAAGCAGATATACTGATAGGAATAATCAATGAACTACCACGGTGCTCCACAGCACTGTGGAAGGTCACTGAGGAATACTAGCTGACAGCCACTAAGGCTGCCGGAACTTATAGTCTCTCATTCACAGAATGCTGTGAATGAGTGACGCGGCCGGGAGGGCAGAGCCCTGTGTGGCCATGTTTTTTTTTTTAAAATTTTGACAGCTAGTGAGAGGGGAGAAAATCCCCCGTTAGCTGTCAAAAGTGGGGATCGAGGGGGAGTGGGGGGGCCGGTCAGATTGTAAACTTGAAAAAGCAGGGCCCCTCAATCCCCTCATGGTTTGCATTGTATTGGTATTGTTCTATCACATGTTCTGTCCCCCTTTGTAATGTACAGCTCTTAGCGAACTATCGGCACTTTATAAATACTGTATAATAATAATAATGTTACACCCTGCATATGGATGTAACATGTTACAAAAGGTGAAATTATCCTTTAAGTGTCCTCACATATTTTTGTATATTAACCACTTCCAGACCGGACACTTTTACCCCCTTCCTGACCAGGGCAATTTTCAGCTTTCAGCGCTATCACACTTTGAATGACAATTGCGCAGTCATGCAACACTGTACCCAAATGAATTTTTTACCATTTTTTTGAGACAGATAAAGCTTTATTTTGGTGGTATTTATTCACCACTGGGATTTAAATTTTTTTTGCTATGTAAATGAAAAAGTCCAAAAATTTTGAAAAAAAAGTGTTTTTTTTTATAAAATTTTGCAAATAAATAATATTTCATCATAAATCTTTGACAAAATTTATTCCGTTATCTTTTTAGTAAAAAAAAAAAAAAAATCCAAATTAGTTTATAACCAAAAATTATAATTTTTGAACATTTTTATTTTATTTTTTTTATATTATTATTATTATTATTTTTTTACATACTGTCACCCTAGCAGTACAGTGTCACCATGGTGACACTGTACTACTTGTGGGGGGTGATGAAGATTTTTTTTTTTTTTTTTTTTTTACACTGATTGCTTTTACACCCATATAGGATGTAAAAGCAATCATTTCTCTTTCTCTCTGTCTGCATTCTTGCACTCATTGAGAAGTACTGAGTGAGCTGTGATTGGTCACAGCTTGTCACATGGTGCAAGGCTGTTGTGAATAGCCTTGTACCATGTGACCTCTGTGATCATTCACAGATTTCACATGTAGTAAGCAATGATGTCACAAGTGACATCTTGCTTACTACTTTGCATGTGATCACTGATTGGCCAAGCAGTGATCACATGATCGGGACCTCGTACAGAGGTCCCGTCCGACGATTGGTGTTTTCACTGTGTCCAGAGAACACAGCGGGCACCGGATCGCGGTGCTGCGCGGAGCGTGCACAAGCAGGGTGCGGGGAGGCCGTTTATAAACGGCCACCTGACCCTGCACTGCCACCATCTGGCCGATTATATACAACGGCCGGTCGGGAAGTGGTAATAGACGTGTCGAATTTACTCGGGCACATATTTTAAACCCTTATCCAATACTTTAATTTCATTATGGCTCAAAGGGGTCCCACTGCTATTGAAAATTCATGTTCTTAATTGACACTTCTTCTTTTGTACCCTTCTAGCAGCTCTCTTTCCTCTCTGTCACTTTTTCCCCCATATGTGTTTCCAGCTGGTGTCTGGCTTCTCATGGTATCCTCTATTGGGAGGTTGAGTGTTGGGGGTATCTATTTCTTTTCCAATTTAAATTAGTGTGTCTGGGAGCTCTAGGCTCATAGTTCACCCTTTGAAAAAGATCCCCTATCACCTCCCTTGTTCCCTTCTTGCTGTATGCCTCCATTTAAATTGCAGCTGTAAGATGCAATATTACTATTATAAAAATCCCCATTTCTCCTTTGATGCTGTTGATAGTCATAAAAAGGTTGCCTCCACTCGGGAGGCCGAGCTGGCGGTGCAGTTTCCCTCTCTGGTGTGATTGCCTGGGAAGAAACAACACTAGCGTCTTCTACCACACCACACTGCCATCTAAAAACTTCCTGATTGTTGTAATCACCTGTATCTCTTATAAAAAATGTCTCTTCTCTCTTGTATGTTTATCCAACTTCTCAATTTTAGTTTTCAATTCACCTGATAATTTAATATATTTAGAATTATTTTTCTGTGATTCAATATGGTCCTTAAGCTCCTTAATTTGTGTCTCCAATATTTGCATTTTTTTTTGCTTTTGTTCCCACTTGGGCAAAAATTCCATGAGTTCATAAGGAGGAGAGGAGCTAACCCAAGGATCCCCGTAAAGGGAAACAATCACTTATGACCTGTAAGAGGACAGGTCTAAGAGTGGAGGTGAGCATAGGATTGAAAGGTGGTGGATACATGGTGTGCATGTCTATAGTAACACAGAAGGTGGTACATGGTTATTTTGCAAAATAAACAGAAAGCACAATTTATGAACTGTGGACATTATGACACTTGGTTTTTATTTTTTATTGTAAAGATTTTCATATTGTTTTTTATTATTATCCATTCCATTGTTTATGTTGATGAGCTCTCTTGCACAGTATATATAACAGGGTGGCACAACATTACTCTTTTTGGATTACTAGATTTGTAGTTGAATTGTTAAGATGGTAAACACAGATCCACAGACACTGGACTTTAGAGAGACAACACGATGGAACACAACAATTTTAACTGGAGCGAGTTGCCAAAAGAAAAATATTTTGTAGGAATCCTCTAAAGTGACAATGCTTTTTGAGTGTCTAGCAGTTTGGCTTCATATGTCTCTCCCAAATCCTCCTTCTACCTGGGCAAGGATTGTAATTTTAATTTTAAAGTGGTTATAAACCTCAAGTGCAAGCAACATAAAAGACCTGCACCATATTACTCATTCATGTTTTGCATTGTATTGTTGTTGTTCTGTCACATGTTCTGTCCCCCTTTGTAATGTACAGCGCTGAGCGAACTATTGGCGCTTTATAAATACTGTATAATAATAATAATAATAATAATATTACACATTCATGCCCAAGGGTAAAACAAATCTAAATGCCTAAGCACATTTTTGCAACTTTGACATGTGTTAGTAAAACCGTATATATCATCACAAGTGCATCCAGGTGGATAATACCTTGTTTTTTTCAGGACAAATTGGGCTTTCATTTGGTGGTGAACGGTAATGGATATCTCCTGATTTTTTTTTTTTTTTTTTTTTTTAATCAAAGGAAATCTGGTCCAAAAGATTTTTTTTTTTTTTTAAATTTAGCTGTATATTTCTTGCTGCTGCCATAACCTACCACCAAAAACTCAAAATAGATTCTCCTGCTCTTGACGATCGCAGTGATACCACATTTGTATGTTAGGTGTTTGTACCCATAGTATGACCCAGAAACAATATAGTGAGCAATTTGCTTTTTTTTTTAAAATCCTTAAATACATAGACACTAATTTAAAAAAAAAAAAAAAAAAAAAAAAAAAAAAAAAGCTGACCCTGACCCTTGACCCTTACACTATCCCTGGCAGTGACCTAGATCAAACCTTGATCTAGGTTTTTTTTTATAATTTTTTTTTTCATCCATGTAAACTTAGCCTGTTATCGCATGAAGCAATGTCAGTGGATCTATTTGATTTACTTATTGAGATGAGACACCACCAACTCCTGCATGTTTTCCTTTTTAAACAGTAGATCTGTTAATTCAGAGCATGATGGTGCCCTAGAAAAAACTGAATATTTTGGATTGCAATATCTATTATAGTTTATAATTCTTTATAATTATGATCTTCTTATATTGTATCTCATATGAAGGTTTGTTAAAATACACACAGTATACAAGGTGAATGGTTCTGATCACTGGCAGGTTTTTATTGGTTCCAACAGGCTAACGTGTTTCGAGGACTCAGGCTCTGAGGAAGAGGCTGAGTCCTTGAAACGTGTTAGCCTGTTGGAAGTCCAGGGTTCCATTTATGGACTTATATGTAGTGTGGATTGGACACCGCTGTTTAGTGTGATGTGTTTTTGTCCTGTATGTCAATTGTGAGTACGATACTTACTGTCTGAGAGCAGCAAGGAGTGCATTTTCCAGGACATCTGAATTGTTACCATAGCCTTTGCTGAGTCCATCCCCAAGCTCAGTAGTACAGAGTTTGCTAGGTTTTTATTGGTGTCTGTGTCCTTGTTAGGGAGACTTATGCTCTGATTGTTCTGATCACCAATGTAACTGGGCATGAAAGTGAGGGTGAATCCACTATTCTGATTTGCCATTAAAAAAGGAATAGAGGGAAAATCTTCAAATGGGGACACTTGTTCTTGTGACAACTGGCTAAGAGGGGATTTCCCTCACATTGGAAAGATACATGCTCACTTCCCATTGAGTTTATAAGACAGGAAGTGAAGAGAAAAAACTATTGTGTATTCACACTAGAGGGCTGGCAGAGTGGCAAGTTTATTTTGCAATAAGGGAAAAAAGCTAAAATTTTCAGTGCCCAGGTAGTGAACTTTGAAGAGGAATTTCTCTACAATGTCTATAGCTTTAGAGGTGAATAGGGGTTTGTTTGAAGTGCTTTAATTAATTGTTTAAAACATGTAAATACTATAGTTTGCACATTCTGGGCACAGGTTCACTTTAAAGTTTTAAACACATAGATGAATATTTATAAAGCAGTAAATTCATCAAACAATAACTACAGGTGTATCTTCCTGGTACATGTTTAACCGAAGTAAAGTTAAAACCATTATCTTACCTGAGAGTGAAGAATCAGTTAAGGCCTTTGAAAAATCAGGAAGAAAATTAGGAAATGGAATACTGATTGTACTGCCACTGTGGGGACTTGAGAAGCCACTTGAAGAAGGAGAAATGGAGCCGAATGATCGTTCACTTTCAGAAATTCTTTTTTTCTCTGGAAGAGGTGGCTGTGAATGCTGGGTTTTTCCTACATGCTGTAATATTGGACTGCCTTGGTTATAGGAATTGTCATTGTCCACTGAAAACTGTGACCTTAACATTTTAGGAGAAGCATTTGTAGTAGAGTAAAATGACACCTGCTTCTCACTGAGCACAGGATTATTGTTAGAAAGAACAAAGCCGTCATAATTACAGTTGGCCTGAATAATTTTGCTTCCCGATCGCTCTTGGACATCTGCAGCTACACAGCCTGGATTACTTGTTTCGAGTGTCTGCAGCCCTGGTGCAAGGTCACTGTTCAGTATCGTTTGTACTGGGCTCAAGGACACAGTCAATTCCTGGTTAATCGCTGGCATCCTACTCCTCTCCTTTAATGAATATTGATAAGGCAATGTAGGCTTTAGCGGACTCTCCATCCATACCTGTTCAGCTTCTGAAGCACTGTTTAAAAAGAAAAAGAAAACCTTCATATTACTATAGCTCAGTGGTTCTCAACCTTCCTAATGCCGCGACCCTTTAATACAGTTCCTCATGTTGTGGTGACCCCCAACCATAAAATTATTTATCCAGTAATTATAATTCATGAAGTGTCGTTTTACCTCCAATACTGCTGCTTTCAACACTGCTTTCAACACAGTAGCTGCTTTCTACACAGTAGCTGCTTTCTACACAGTAGCTGCTCTTTACACATTGGAAATATGTGTTTTCCGATGGTCTTAGGCGACCCCTGTGAAAGGGTTGTTCGACCCCCAAAAGGGTCGCGACCCACAGGTTGAGAACCACTGCTATAGCTGGTTTCTAAACAGATTCTACATCAGAGGAGGGCAAAGTCACCCTAAGGATAAGTATCTGTGCAACCAAAATCCCCATTTCTGTTTTCCATAGATGCCATTTATTTGTAGTATTCCCATGTATCCTTTTGTTTCTCAGATATATCAGTGGTACAATCTCCCCTGCAAAGTTTCTGTCTCTGCACCCACACCACTAAAGAAACTCAGCACGGTTTCTGTGCTCTCTATGAAGATAAATAAACTAGGTCAAGTGAAATTCCCTCACAATTGCCACAGCAGGAAATAGGCATTGTTGGTTACAACCTTCATGCCAGAATTGAAAAATGCAGTGGGTACTTATGTTGCAGTCAAAGTTGACCTTAAAAGCAAACTTTTAACAATATAGAGAAATTAGGAAAAAAACGTATGTGAAATATTTTTTAATACAGTGTTGAGAGACTGAATATGTGCACTTTACTTGAGATCCATTTTACAGCTTAAACCCTCCTATCATTTTCAGCCAAGGAGGCCGCCATCTTAGCCTCTGATCTTCAACTGCCATGGTGCTGCATAAGTTATGACACCGATGGTTTGACAGTTTGGGTGAGAGCATAAGCAAATGTGTTTTTTAAAACTGTTAAATTGATGGGTTAAGTTTGGCTTTAATTGCTTTTTTTTATAAAACTCACCTTTCTTCTCTGTTTGCAAAATTAGCATTCCTGTGTGAGGAAGATCTTTGCAGCTCTGTCGTGAAAAAAACAGAGCTTGTCCCATCAGTGCTGTCAGAGGGAAATTCTCTTTGTTGAAGGCCTTCACTGCAATTCTGCTTGTCTAAAGAAGGAACAAATATTGCAGAAATCATTATGTGTAGGCTTTAACTTTTTTTTTTTTTACTGAGATAAAGTTAACAAACAATTTTCAACCAAGATAGTAGTGAGTTGTGTGATTAGTGGTGTGAAACCACTAGTTGCAGATGTGCTGGAAGTCTTCAAAGAAGGTTCAGATGAAGATGTGGAGGCAGGCAGGGGATTTCAAAGCATTGCACGTGGGGTTAATTTACTAAAACAGGAGAGTGCAAAATCTGGTGTTCTGTATAGGAACCAATCAGCTTCCTGGTTTTACTGTCAAAGCTTAACTGAACAATCTGAAGCTAGAAGCTGATTGGCTACTATGCACAGCTGCACCAAATTCTGAGTGCTCCGGTTTTAGTAAATCAACCCCATGAAGTCAGCCCGAGCGCAGTCGAACTCAAGACTACAACTAAGATATGCAGAAAAAAAACTGTGTAAATTAAATACTCACTGACAGCTTAAAGCTGTGTGCCACAATGTACTAATCTTGAGCTGTAGCAGAAATTAGGTACAGACTAAGTCATTGCAGGTTGTACCCAAAGGTAGCTGCACTGTGTCCCCAGCAGAGGAGAGGTCAAGTGGCCATTTGCAGCAGAATAAATTGTAGCAGGACTTCATAAACGTCACCAGGAGCAGTAGAAAAATGTAGTGTGCCTCCCTAGTCAACAATACTACAGTCTGACCATCCTTACCTACTCACTGTTTTAGGGGAGTCTGCAAAGCTATCCAGAAGTCATGTTACTGGTACTCTGAAGCTTATAAGTAACCTGTAATAACTATACAGATTCTCTGAACTGGCCTGTCATACGCAGATTCCCTAAGTGCAAACATTAACTAACAGGCCACTGTCCTGAGCAGGGCCATTACAGTGAAGCACCTTCTGTAATGTCAGGGAGGCACTGCACTCATTGGCTGACTAGAGAGACTAACAGGATCTATATTATCTGGCTATAACTACCAGCAGTTGATATTTGAAAAGTGGAGATTCGGCAGAGCTGGGGAAGAGACACCCTTCCTCTTTAGGACACTAGGATAAAAACTGAGGCTCTGTTGCAGTAATGGAATAAAACCAGAAGGTGGCGCTGTCCTATTTGATTTTTTTGTTTTTTCCTAGTGTCCATTTCATCTGCAAGTGACAGCATACAGTATTTGAACACCTAAGAAACAGCAAGAATTCTGTCTCTCAAAGACCTGTTACTGTGCCTTTAAAAAGTCCACCTCTACTCCACTCATGAATCTAACTTAGTAGCACCTGTCCGAGCACTTTAAAGACACCTGTCCACCCCACAGTCAGTCAGACGCCAACTACTACCATGGGCATGACCAAAGAGCTGTCAAAAGACACCAGATACAAAATTGTGGACCTCCACAAGGCTGGAAAGGGCTACAGGGCAATTGCCAAGCAGCTTGGTAAAAATAGATCAACTGTTGGAGCAATTGTTAGAAAATGGAAGAGGCTAAAGACGACTGTCAGTCTCCCTCGGACTGGGGGCTCCATGCAAGATCTCACCTCGTGGGGTATCACTGATGATAAGAAAGGTAAGGAATCAGCCCAGAACTACAAGGGAGGAGCTGGTCAATGACATGAAGAGAGCTGGGACCACAGTTTCAAAGGTAACTGTCGGTAGAACACTACGCCGTCATGGTTTCAAATCATGCATTGCACGGAAGGTTCCCCTGCTCAAGTCATCACATATCCAGGCCCGTCTGAAGTTTGCCAATGACCATCTGGATGATCCAGAGGAGGCATGGGAGAAAGTCATGTGGTCAGATGAGACCAAAGTAGAACTTTGTGGTCTAAACTTCACTCGTCGTGTTTGGAGGAAAAAGAAGGATGAGTTGCATCCCAAGAACACCATCCCTACTGTGAAGCATGGGGGTAGTAACATCATGCTTTGGGGGTGCTTTTCTGCGAAGGGGACAGGACGACTGCACTGTATTAAGGAGAGGATGAATGGGGCCATTTTATTGTGAGATTTTGAGCGACAACCTCCTTCCCTCAGTCAGAGCATTGAAGATGGGTCATGGCTGGGTCTTCCAACGTGACAACGGCCCGAAGTACACAGCCAGGATAACCAAGGAGTGGCTCCGTAAGAAGCATATCAAGGTTCTGGAGTGGCCTAGCCAGTCTCCAGACCTAAATCCAATAGAACATCTTTGGAGGGACCTGAAACTCCGTGTTGCTCAACAACAGCCCCGAAACCTGACAGATCTAGAGAGGAGATCTGTGTGGAGGAGTGGGCCAAAATCCCTGTTGCAGTGCAAACCTGGTCAGGAACTACAGGAAACGTTTGACCTCCGTAATTGCAAACAAAGGCTTCTGTACCAAATATTAACACTGATTTTCTCAGGTGTTCAAATACTTATGTTCAGCAGTGCAAGACAAATACATTCTTTAAAAATCATACAATGTGATTTCCTGAATTTTTTTCTAAATTCTGTCTCTCAGAGTGGGAATGCACCTACAATGTGAATTTCAGACCCCTCCATGATTTCTAAGTGGGAGAACTTGCAAAATCGCAGGGTGTTCAAATACTTCTGTTCCTCACTGTATACTCACAGGTCTGTATAACAGCACTGTGCCCTTTAAATGTTTTCAATGAATGATGGAGAAATTACTTTTATGCAAGTGTCAAAAAGTCCTTCCCACTAGTCCAAAAATTATCCCCTCTTCTAGTTCCAGCTTCTCACATTCCACAATATACAAGTATGTGTGTCTGTCCGTCACAGTGAATTTTTATTTCGTAGGGTACAGCTATCAGCATCATCACAAAAAGTGAGTTATTTCCTATTTTATGAGATAACCCAGCAATGAAAAATTAGACTCATCAAGGACTATTTCTCTTGGGAAAAAAAACATTTATTCTACAGGTATTGAACAACTCAGTAAATACTGTTACTATGATGTATATCAGGATTTATATTATTCCACACAATATATTAAAATATAACCGTGTATTATACAATTAAAGCTTGTAGTGGAATAAACACTGAGAGGTGCACAATGGTCTGCAGTACGCTATACGTACCACACTTCAGATGTATTCTTATAGAGTTAACAACTATGGTAAGTTTTTGATATAAATAACAAATCATAACAGTAAACCCACTACCAGCTATTGTACCTTGACAGCAGTACAGGGAGGATTTCTAAAAAAACTGGAAAAAAAACAGTAAATAAAAAAAAAAAAAAATCACTAAAATAATTAACAGTAGCCCTGCACGATGCAAAGTATTAATTTCAAACATTTCTCCATCTACATATATCAAACATAATCCTAACGTTCCAAGATTTCTGGACTGTAGAATAGAAGACAGACAAACATTTACAATGCCTAGAGATTGTAGCCTAACCAAAATTCCACAGTGAAGCGTAAAAGAACAGACACCTACCAAAAGAAGCAGACATATCAAACATTCTTAGCAATTATGAGAGCTTCAGCTGCTAGGAAAAAGAAAGAAAAAAAAAAGTTTCCCAAGTATTGTGCAGATCCGTTACTTTTTCCCAACTATAAAACTTCCTGCAGCCAGTGAACTCAACAAGCGGATGTGTATAGACAGAGGAGGCTCCGGCTGCTGCTGCTGGTGTGCTGCCTTTTCTTTGCACTCCCCCTTCTAAATGTTCTGACACAGGCATTCAGGATAGGGATGTTGGTCTAATCGGCTAGCAAAAGCAAGAGTAAAACATTCTCTCTGAAGGTGGTGGCACACGGGACATTTGTCAGCCAGAACTTTTCTTAGTAAGCTAATTATAGGAAGGGGCGCAGAACAGATACTCATGCCAGAGTTTATTTCTTAAAGTGACAGCAAGCAAATTCTTGTCTGAGCTGCAGCCACACTGCGGCATAAATACTATGAGATGGTTTCATTGGTTTCTTTTCCTACTTAAACCTCCTGAGGATTTACCCCCTTAATGACCAGGCCACTTTTTGCTACTCGGCGCTGCACTAATTCAACTGATAATTGCGCGGTCATGCAACGCTGCACCCAAACAAAATTTACGTCCTTTTTTTTCACACAAATAGAGCTATCTTTCGGTGGTATTTGATCACCTGTGCGCTTTTTATTTTTCACGCTATAAACAAAAAAAGGCCAAAAATTTTGAAGAAAAACAATTTTTTTTACTTTCAGCTATAAAAAATATATAGTAAACTCAAAGTTGGTTATAAATTTAGGCCAAAATGTATTCTGCTCCATGTTTTTTTGGTAAAAAAATCCCAATAATTGTATATTGATTGCTTTGTGTGGAAGTTATAGCGTCTACAAACTATGGTATAGATACTGCAATTTACGCCATTTTTCTGCTATACAGCGCTGCGCTAGTTTAATGGACAATTGCGCGGTCATGCAATACGGTACATAAATGAAATTTACATCCTTTTTTTCCCCACAAATTGAGCTTTCTTTTGGTGGTATTTGATTGCCTGTGCGGTTTTTATTTTTTGCGCTATAAAAAAAAAAAAGGCTGACAATTTTGAGGAAAAAAAAACAATATTTTGGACTTTTTGCTATAAAAACATGTCCAGTAAAAAAAAATGTAAAAATCAAATTTAGTCATAAATTTCTGCCAAAATGTATTCTGCGACATGTCTTTGCTAAAAAAAAAACAACCCAATACGTGTAAATTAATTGGTTTACGAGAAAGTTATAGCGTTTACAAATGGCGGGAAAGATACTGGGATTTTTAGGTTTTTTTATACTAACTAATGGCGTCGATCAGCGACTTATGGCGGGACTGCGGCGGACATTCTGACATTGGGGGGGGGGGGGGGGTACTGACTTGGGGTCACTGACATCCCCAGTGACACCAATACAGTGATCAGTGCAAAAAAAAAAAAACACTGACACTGTACTAATGGCACTGGGGAGGAAGGGGTTAAGTTTATTATTCAGGGAAGGGTTAACTGTGTGAGGGGAGTGTTTTACTAGGGGGCAGAGGTGTGTACTGCACTCTTCTTCTGTCCCGATCTGCGTGTCCTG